TGAGAAAAAAAAAAAAAGGGATGGAAGAGAGCATCAAACAATAAAATGGTCACACAGACAGAAGCAGGTAGGATGTACCACGTAAGAAATGTATAGCCTCAAATGATGAGCTTTTTCCAGACACTCAGAAAAATTGAGTTGGCTAGAAGAGGAATCCTGCTCAGTCTCTGAAACATCATTGAACTGCATGACAGCCCCCAGGGCAGCTGCTTAAGAAATCCCCCCACAGAAACATGGATGACAGCCTTGAAATGATGATGGTGGTGATGATGATAATCAACTGAACACATGAGTTTGCATGAGAGTGAGAATAATAGATCAGAGTAAAGGGCACTTGGTTGATCCATGAATGTGGGGCAAAGTCATCAGAGTTTGAGACTTGCTGGGAGAGTAAAGTTTCCCCAAACTGGGTCAAATCCCACAGTTCATGGGGTATTTTCCAGAGCAGCCCCCACAAAACCGGGACCCAAAACCAGGACCTCAGGGTCAAAGCCTTCCACTTAGTTCCTCTTAGTACTGCCATTCATAAATTTGCTCAGCCCCTTCTTACATTGTATTCCTCCACCCTACCAGGCCCACCTCTTGAGATAATAAGTTTGAGAAGATTATTATCTGCTGTGTTAAGCAATACTTCCTTTCATTGGTTACAACCACAAAAAGAAGAATTCCAGGTGAAACAGCTGAGCGGCTAATATGTTGCTTTCATCAAGAGACAATCTTGGATGGGGGAAAGCAGAAATATTCAACAGCCGAGAACCACAAGGCACTGAAGCAGCAACCATGAACTTGGTGATTTCGAGTGCTTTGGCTGATGAGAGTCATTCCACATGTGTTCACAGAAAATAGGACTGGACAAAGACATCATTTATGTCGGAGTCACGTAGTTAGAAAACAGCTCAAATAGCAGCAGAGTTCAGCAATGTTCTCAATCCCAAAGCCCTGAGCTGATTGCAAATGTGCAAAGGGATACAGAAAACTCCTGACATTAACACCATACCTCTGATTGGTCAGGAAAGCCTCAGTACCACCGAAAAAGGTATTGCCAAATCCTGAGAGGGCACGAACCTGCCAGCCCCTGGCTGAGTTACACTGAAGTAGGATTTGCCCCATCAATATAAACATCTTAATTGCAGTATTGTACTCTGGATTGATTTCTAGAGCAAAATGGATACGTGAATAAGAAAACTGATGAGTTCTGAATAAAAAAAAAAAAGGCTGGAGTTTTGTTAAGAGTATCATAAAAATACCAATCTTAGTTTTGACAAATGAGACGCTGTTTTGTAAGAGGTTAGCATTGACCAGGTGAAGGGTATGTGAGGACTTTTTTTTTTGTCCGTTCTGGGGCTTGAACTCTGGGCTTGGGTATTGTCCCTGAACTCTTCAGCTCAAGGCGAGTACTCTGCCGCTTAAGCCACAGCGCCACTTCCAGTTTTCTAGTGGTTTATTGGAGATAAGAGTCTCACGGACTTTCCTGCCTAGGCTGGCTTTGAACCATGATCCTCAGCTCTCAGCTTCCTAAGTAGCTACAATTACAGGTGTGAGCCACCAGCACCAGCTATGTAGGAACTTTTGTACTATCTTTACAACTTTTTATGGACCTAACAGTCCATAATAAAATCTTTGTTAAAAGGAAGAGAACTAAAAAATAAAAAAAAGAAGCCAGGTGCCAGTGGCTCACGCCTATAATCCTAGCTACTCAGAAGTCTGAGATCTGAGGATGGCAGTTCAAAGCCATCCCAGGCAGGAAACTCCCTGAGACTTGTTATCTCCAATTAAGTGCCAGAAAAGCCAAAAGTGGAGCTGTGGTTCCAGTGGTAGAGTGCTAGCCTCCCATAAAAAGCTCAAGGACAGGGCTGGGAAGGTAGCTCAGTGGTAGAGTGCTTGCCTTGCATGCATGAGGCCCTGGGTTCGATTCCTCAGCACCACATAAGCAAAAAGAAAAAAGCCGGAAGTGGCGCTGTGGCTCAAGTGATAGAGCGCTAGCCTTGAGCTGGAGAGCTGAGGGACAGCGCCCAGGCCCAGAGTTCAGGCCCCACGACTGGACCAAAAAAAAAAAAAAAACAGCTCAAGGACAACACCCAAGTTCAAGCCACAGGACCAGACAAAATAATAATATGTGAGTGAGTGAGTGAGTGAGTGAGTGAGTGAGTGAGTGAGTGAGTGAGTGCGTGCGTGCGTGCGTGCGTGCGTGCGTGCGTATGAATCTTTAGAACCATTTCCCCAAAAGTGGCAGTCAATGAAAATCATGAAGGTTTCCAACAGAATTCAATTGGGCATAAAGGATAAGGAAAAACTAAGAGGATAGTTTATAAAGATAAAATTCAGCCAGCACTGGTGGCTCACGCCTGGGGAAGGGGAAGGAGAAGGAATTTAGTTGGTATTCACAGAGGAATGGCATGTCAAATTCAAAAACAATGAATATGAATAAATCTGTAGTGACTCATCACAAAGTTATCATATTCCAAAGTTGACCATGGTCTTCCAAAGATGGCCCTTGGGGATGTAGCTCAGTAGTAGAGCATGATCTCAGCAGTACTAAGGACTAGGGCTTACCTAGTTCCCAGGTTCCATTCCCACCACCCCAAAAAAACATGGATAGCATAAGCCACATTCAACACTGATTTATCTCTCCTTTAGACACCATTTCCTTTCTATAAAAATAAACATGCTTCTGAATCCAACAAGCTTTAAAATCTACAAACAGCCTGAAAGGAAAAGACTAGAACAAAACCTGGTCATTCTAATATACACTCAGACCTCCAGATCCTCAGTTCCATGTCTTTAGATTCAACCAACTGGGATCATGGAGAATTTAAAAAAAAAAAAACAACCACAACTTACATCTGTGCTGAACCCATAGACTTCTTTGTCACTATTTACTAGACAATATAGAATAATAATTTGCATAGCAATTATATCATATCAGATATTACAAGTAATCTGGGAATAAAGTATACTGAAGGTGTGAGTAGTTATAGGCAAATATTACACTACTTTTTTTTTTTTTCAACTAAGAACCTGAGCATGCTCAGATTTTGGTATGCATGGTAGGTTCTGGAACCAGTCCCTCTCAGATACCACCAGAGAAAACTCCAATACTAAACATAACATCAAGGTTTACCAAAACACAAAGTTATTCACTGACTGGCTTACTTGGAGATGTGTCCTTAGGCACAATCAGCACATTCGTGCATAAGCAATTAATTGCTCATTCAAGAGGATAAGCGATAAAAAGGTAAAATAGGAGATTAAGTACTTGAATAGTATCTAAAGGAAATTCTATCAAATCTTGTAAAAAGCATTAAGAGGAATGCACTGAAAATATATTACCAGTTAAGAAGACTCAACCTTAAGAGATTTGGAGCTATTGTCTAAAGATTAGAAAAAGCTAATTAATGAAAACTTTGTATCTACCAGTCATGTTGTGGCCAAAAAAACATGTGGTTCAAACTGGTTGCCACCCTGTGAGGCTACTGGAAGGCCTCACTGAAGGAAGTGCATTCACTGGGGTTTGACTTTGAAGATGACATTGGGACGTGGGCCATTTCTGGTCTCTCTTTGACTTGCCAGCTGCCATGGCCACAATAAGGTGAATAGTTCTCCTCAGCTGTATTCCCAACATCGTGTACTATGCCACCACAGGCCCCAAGTAACCATGGACTAAAACCATAAGCCCAAATAAACCCTTCCTCCTTTTAAGTATATTTTCCCAGGAATTTTATCACAGCACCATGAAGCTCATTATACAGAAGCAAAAAGTTGACCTAGCAAGATTTATGGAAATACAGCCTACTAAAGAACTTCATGTAGGAGGTCAGGAAAAGAAAAAAAAAAAAGCACATCAAAATGGCCTTCACCTGGGCAGTAGTCGATCCTAACCATGTCCCAGCCGAAAGTACAGGCTGAGGGTCCCTCGTCCAAAGTATTTTAGGTTTTAGATTTTTTTTTTTCCTGCATCTTAGATAATGAGTTATGCTTGGGAATGGACTCAGGTCTAAACATAAAACTCATTTGCATCTCCTGTACACATATGTTAATGGCGGTTATATATCATGTTTTTAATGAAACCCCTTCACAAGTTCACGTGTGGAATTTTCCACTTGTGGCATTAGGTTGGCACTTCAGAAGGTTCACATTTGGAAACATTTTGGATTGTTTGATTAGGGATGCTCAACCTGTAATTACAACATGGCTCCAATTAGAAGTCTGGTTTCCACACCTAAAAACAGGTTCCACTTTCCCACCTCCCCTCAACACCAAAAATAAATGCACTCAAGCTAGCCAACTGCATTCCTGCTGGCTCTCCTCTGGTCAGGTCTCATCTGATGACATGCAATCAACAAAACACTTAAAAATAAACAAGGTCTTTAAAAAAAATCACTACTTTGTGAGAAAAACAAAAAACAAGGCTTTTGGTTTTGTTGATAATCAGTCAGGTCTTTGTTTCAGAGAATTAATTCCATTTGCCTTAGCTGATTATAAAGCAATGTGTGAATGAATACACCGTACATATGCATTATAGATTTTACATGCTTGTGAGCAAAGACAAATATTACAGAGAAAACAAATGAACGCAGCGAGGTGTTTATGGTTTCATTGCAGGCTCCAACCATTAGCAGGGCAGCCGGGCAGGTTGCCTAATCTCAGAGTCTTTTTCCTCATCTATGAATGAAATAATTAGGTTCCTTTCTTCTTCTGGGAAGAACTGTCAAGCCAAGGGACAACCTTCAAACTCTACCAAATCTGTGCCTCGAGCTTCCTCCAAGGAATGCTAAAGACTACAAAAATCAGAATTTTGATAAATGACCCAGTATGCAAATAATTTTAAAGCAGAGCTATTACTCAAAACCAGCTTATAGTGCTTGCTTTTTCTACTTCCGTAAATAATTAAAATCCTTATGTAATTTACAGCAGCTTTTAGGCCACACAGTCATCTCAGATCACTTTTAAAGGTTTTCTCAGTCCCAAGAACCAAATTCAAGGAACACCACTCTACTTACAGTTGCGAATGTTATTCCAGTCTATTTTGGAGAAAAAGGGATGGCAGCAAAGGCCCTCAAACTTCAGTCTCTCTTTCTGCCCACACAACAGGCTCTGAATCAGATCAAGGAATTCACTGCTAACTTTGGGGTCATCAGGAAACTTCAAAAACCGCTGTTCCCAAAAAAGAAATAATAATAATAATAATAATCCAATAGTTATTTCCTTAGCAGTGGTTCAATATCACGTGTCCCAAAGTTAAGAATGCATTCTCATATATGCAAGTTTCTTTTCTATTAACAAAAAAAGTTTCATGGCCTCTTCACTTTGGACCAAAGGCATGTTCCCAAAATAAGCAGCCTGTTCACATCAATAGACCTGCTTTTCCTTGACGGGGTTGAATACCTCTCATGGCCTGACCTCTGCTCCCCACTCCTCTCTCATCTCACACGCTCCTCATTTGTCCCTTTGCTGCCCAACAATGATGGGTTATTTAAAGCTGCCTGGACACATCATGCTGTTCCCATAGCCTAGAACTCCCTTCCCCACCTACCAAGCCCTCTTGGCTCCCTTTCCGGCCCCCTTGCTGTCTCTCTCCACCCCCGCATGTTCTTTCTGAATGCAGTCCACTTCTGCACTGACACTGTGGTTCTGAGCGATGACAGGCCGAGGCAGAGAAGGCCTCCTTCTTGCCCACCACTTTTTCTAATCTGGTACCCAACAGTACCAGGGGCAATTCATGATCGAATGATAAAATGAGTGAACTGAAAGGAAAGGATAAATCAGCTCCAAGAGTCATCTAAGGGGAAATTTCAACTCTAGAACAACAATGTAAAAAAATATATATATATAAGTCAGGGATGGTGGCACAAACCTGTAATCCTACATATTTAGAAGAGATCAGAGGACCATAGTTTGAGGCCAGCCTGAGTAAAAAAAAAAAAAAAGAAGAGAAGTTCGAGGAACTGCCATCTTAATATCTGGGTGTGGTGGTGTGCATCTTTCATCCTAGCTATGAGGGAAGCACATGGCTAGGCGGAGTGATGCCATCCTTCCAGGCACATGGAGAACAGTAGGAGGATCAAAGCCAAAGCTGGCCTGGGCATAAAACAAGACCCTACCTCAAAAATAACCAATGCAAAAAAGGGTTGGAAGTGTGGCTCAACCTAGCCAGTGGGAGGCCCCAAGTTCAATCTCCAGTATGGCCACAAAAACAAAACAAAGAAAATGTACATACATAAGAAAGACATATTCATCTGCGTGCAGGAGCGTGTACCTGTCATCCCAGCTACAGTGGGAAGCCTAAAATAGGATGATCAAGGTCTGAGCCTGGGCCAAAAGCAAAATACTATCTCAAAATGAGAGCAAAGAAAGACTGAGGGCAAGGCTCAGCAGTGAAGCGAATACCTGTCTAGCAAGCGTAAGACCTTAGTTCAAATCCCAAAACCACCACCAAATGAAAAAAAAAATGGAAATTAGACGAAATACTCAAAGGAATGAATTCTCTTTTTCCCTGTAGTTGATTCTAAAAAGAAATTTTATTATCATATCCTTAGGGAATGGGTTTAAGTGCGATGGAAAATGTAGTTATTAGAAAAAAAAGTTTTCTACTGGGAGTTGGAGTATAGTTCAGTGATAGAATACATGCCTAGCATGTTCAAGGTCCTGGGTTCAATCCTCAGAATGACAACCTTGAAAATGAAATAGGTTGTCTTTTTCAGAAATAGTTTTAATTTTTTTAGTTTTATACGTATATAGTAAAATGTATATAGAGTAAAATTATAGTATATTAAAAGGTGTGTACTATATAAAAATGGATTATATATTACTATAATTCTAATTCATTTTCTCACTCATATTTGATAGAACTAAGAAGTATAACCTGAAATTAAGAACTTAGACTTTAGTGTCAGACAGGTAAGTTTTGGGCAAATACTTACCATTACTTTGGTTTCCTCATCTGAAAATAACAACAACAGTAGTAGTAATAATAATACCTATATCTCAGGGTTGGTTTGAAGATGAACTGAGCTAACACACTATTTCATCAGCTCTAAGAGACTCACATTTATGAACATTTAACAACAGTAAGATTGAGATGCATTATACTTCCAATAAAAATACCACAGATTAATTAGCAGCAGATTTTCTATTTTAGTGGTACACGACATAATGACACCGTTTTACAATTACTGGCAGCTGCAGTTCAATGGGACTACAATTAATAAAATGTTTAGGACAGCTTTTGGCACAAAGTGAATGCTATGCTCATTTATACATAAACACCATTCACACAGTTTTTAAATGCATGTCTCAATAGTACTTCCCCTATCTGACTTCCCTTTACCTGGAAATTCATGATGTTATTGAAGGTCCTGGCGGAGGTCCCCTCTGTGAATGGGGTTCTCCCATAAATCATCTCATAAGCGATCACTCCCACAGACCACCAGTCACAGTCCAAGCTATAGGTGCCTCTGCCATCCCCATTCAGCACGGTCAACACTTCAGGGGCCATGTAATCTGGGGTCCCGATCGGGAGTTTAGCATTCACCTAGAAACACATAAATAAAAAGGCATACAGCAACCCTTCAATTATCTTCAAGTACACAGCCAACAGCCACATCATCCACAAGCTGACTTGCTCTGATTACAATTCTCCCAGGCACTTCAACCCTCGTCAAGTGGCAACGCTATCAGGAAATACAAGCGCTTTACTAATTAAAAGAAAAGTGCACACCACAACCCAAAGGCAAAGGGAGAAGATTTGTGGATGACATTCACCCTTTGGTTATAGAAATGAGAGCTGGGGAGACATCGCTGGTATGGAAGCTGCTTCCTGATGCAAGTTGCTTATCTTTCTTTTTCTTTAGAACACAGCAAAATGATGGGCTAAGATGTGGCTCCAGTATCTGCCTAACATGCACAAGGCCCTAAGTTCAAACCCCAGCACCACAGAATTTTAAATAATAATACAGCAAAATAGCGAATCCTAAAGTTGAATCTGTGAGATTAGCCTAAGCATAACCAGAAAACTGGCAGCTAGCTGGCAAGACAATTCACAAATTGTTACTAAAAGTCTTAGCATATTATATTTCAAGGATATAAAAACTGGAAAATTGTTTTTTTTTTTTTGTTTTGAGACAGGATCTTACTATGCAGCCCAGACCGGCCTGAACTAATGATCTTACAGGCATATACCAATGTGCCTGATCTTTAAACACTGTTTTGTAATCCACCTTCCTACTTCATACCACCTCAGGGTACAATGATAAATAACTTCCACCAGGACCAGATGTTAGTTTATATTCCACACTCTTGACTCCTCCTGTTCCAGCAATCTCTCACCGCTGTTCAGAAACCCAGGGCCTCCAATCCAATAGTGCCCAAGTACTAACCTTGGTAAAAAGACAGTAGGACAGTGTACCAGGTTTCTTAAACAAGCTAAATATATCCCATTGAAAGGGCTGACCTCCCCTCCACCCCAGAAAATGTGTCCCTCTAATTGCCTCTGCTCTAGTGTTCAAATGTCCTTTGCTTCCTAAAATGATTCTGATGGAAGAACTAACTAGGCTTTCTGCTTCTTGCTAGTCTACCCATCACTCGGGAACCCAGTAAGCAGACAATCCCTTTGGTTTGGAGCCATGAAGCAGGTCATCCAAGGATTACCCATCTAACTTTCCTCACCATCAAAACAGAGGCCCTGCTAGGCACCAGTAGCTCACACCTGTAATCCTAGCTACTCAGGAAGCTGAGATCTAAGGATTATAGTTTAAAGCCAACCTGGGCAGTAAAGTCCATGAGACTCTCATCTCCAATAAAATTAAAAAGCAGAGGCCCTGCCTTGAGTCATGTATTGTTGCTGATCTGCTAGCCTACAACCTAACACAGTAAATGGGCTTCTCTCAGGTTAACAGTTAAAAGATGCATAAGAACGTTCTCCTCATGAAAGGAAGATTAAGACTCCCCTGAGTAAACCAGAAGACCTAGGGCACAGGGCCACAGAACTTGAAGACTAGACTTTAAATCAAGAAAGCCAGTTTTCTTTGCTTTGTTCTAAAGGGCTAATGAGAGAAAACAGGAAGGTTAGAGAGTGTACTATAAGGTCAGTTTTCCCTAGTGATGAAGTAGGGTGACACTGTGCCAGCCTAGAACTTTAAACTTGTCCATTCCTCTGCCCAAGACCTTCTCATTACAGAAAATAAGATTTTCTATTTCTCTCCCAACCCCCTCTCTTAGAGTGAGTGTGCATGTGTGCATTTGTGTGTGTTTGTGTGTATGTAGTGTGCATGTATGCATTTGTGTGTGTTTGTGTATATGTGTGTATGTACACGCCCACAGCAGTGTGATGCTGTTAGGACACAGATCATGCATTGCTTTGGGAAAGAGCCTTTCCACAGAATCCATTGAAGAAAGCTGGATGATTGCTTCACCCAAGAAACCAATAGGGGGCTGGGAAGGTGGCTCAGTGGTAGAGCACTTGCCTTGCATGCATGAGGCCCTAGGTTCGATTCCCCAGCACCACATAAGCAAAAAGAAAAAAAGCCGAAGTGGCGCTATAGCTCAAGTGGTAGAGCGCTAGCCTTGAGCTGAAGAGCTACGGGACAGCGCCCAGGCCCAGAGTTCAGGCCCCACAACTGGACACAAAAAAAAAAAGAAAAGAGAAGAAAAGAAACCAATAGGCAGTCAGTGCTGAAGGAAGTCAAAGCAAAGAGGGAAATATTTGGTCTAGACAGAACCACAACATGACTTAAGCTGGAGAAACTCAAAGCAGTTTAAGTTCAGAGGCAGGCTTGATGTCTGAAGGCAGGGCCAAGACTTCAGTCTTTTAATGAGTACGCAAGTGTTAGTGAGCTCAAGACAGGATTAAGATTGTGCTACAGGGCCTTGACAATGAGTAACAGATATTCTTTAAATACCAAAACCACAGAAGAAAAACTCTTAACATCTTGGTTTGGCTAAATGAGGATAATGTGTCTGTGTTGTTCATTAAATGAGTCCTCTTGTTGACTCGATTTCTCATTACCTTGCAGAACGAGAACTACACAGTTGTCATGCACGCATCATTGGCAGTGGTTGGATTTTATTTTACTGCCACATAGCCTGTTTTCAAATATTCAGTTCTCCTTGTTTGAAGCATACTGGGCATTCAAAGTGCACTGGGATTTAAAGAGTTGATTCTAATTGGGTCAAGTGTGTCAAAGACTATATGTTGTCAATGTATTGTTTCTCAGCTAATGATTTGGCTTTTTTTGTGTATGTGCAGGTACTGGGGCTTGAACTCAGAACCTTAACTCTCTCTCTCTCTCTCTCTCTCTACTACCACTCTACTACTTGGATCATACAAGTTCAGCTTTTTGCTGGCTATTTGGAGATGAGATCTCAGGGACTTTTTTGCCCAGGCTGGCTTTGAATCATCATCCTTAGATCTCAGCCTCCCAAGTAGCCAAAATTACAAGCATAAACCTCTGGTACTGAGATATTGTTAAGACTTATTAAAGTGAACCAGATAACTCCCCAACTAACTCTTATCCTTTAATAGATATATGTGATTACATATATTTATATCTAATAATTTCCTAACTTTCTAAAGCTCATTATTAATTTGCACATGAAAGTTATGAGAGAAAAAATTACCCACGGCTTACTCTCTGTACAACTCCTTATTATTGCTTATTAGCAATTAGCAAAGGTTTTTAATGACTACCTATTTTCCATCCATCACTGACCTCTAAGCACATTAAATGTAGCTTTCAACATATAATCTCTCATGTCCTGATAAGCATTTTACAACATGTTTATTGTCCTCCAGTGGCTACTGAGCCAGCTAATCTTGGAGAGATATTAAAAGTAAGCCTGAAGTAGGAGCCCCACCTGCCCGCTGCATGCTACCTGAAAGGAGCCCGGAAATAACGAAATGGTAATTACTTTTCACTGCATTGATAGGAAAAATAAACCAGCTCAGTAAGGAGACAATAAAGGAATGACTAGGAGACAGAACAATCTGCAATATTTAGGGAAATGGAAAATGGAAGGGAGTAGAAAAAAAATGAACAGAATTAATTTAGTCAATCATTTCACCAAAAAAAAGCAAATGAGGAAGTAAGTAAGAATCTTCTTTGCCCACCTCTTTTGTATAAAATGCTTAAACATAAAATCATTAAAACCTAGTTTTTCCCATCTAGCTGCCCAAGGCATAAACATACACCTGCAGAAGTAAGAGAAACAATTCTCACAATGTTTTTCCTCTTGGGGAAAAGAAATCTTTTCACTCCTACATAAATCAAAAAAGGTTGTCACCTTTGAGTTTCCAATTGCTAAGCAGAGCTGATTAACACTTACAAATAACATTTTTGTTTTTGTTTTACTACTGGCTTCAAGAGAGACAAATGGACCTGGCTGGAAATATCAGATGTTTGCCACACTTTCAGATAAAAATAGCAAATCACTTAATAAGGCAAAGTGGCTGATCTAAGTCACACACCACAGGTCATAAGGTCACTATACCTCAGTTCCTATTGAATAAAGATTCTTATTTACCAAAGCCACACTCTTCAGGAAGAAGCTGGAAGTAAAGGTGATGGACAGTAGAAAAAATCAATACATCTAAGCTTCACAAATACAGAGGAAAGGTGGGAGAAATGATGAGCTGATTCTTGGGTAACACATAATAATGTCAATAATGTGGGTTCTATTTTTCATTTACATTTGAATACAGAAAACACATAGAACCTACATACGGCATTTCAAAGGAAATATTTAATCCTTCACCAGTGATCCAAAATGTAAAGCAAAATATTTCTAATCCTCACCCTACACCTACATATGATCCAGTCTGCAAATTATTATATCTCTATAACCAGATGTTTCTTTAAAAAAAAAATTCCTTCTTATCTGATGGACACATTCTAGCCCTTAAAGCACAGGGAGAAAAGAGGAACAATATTCTCAAGTATATGCACTGAATGCTCTATCTCCAAGATAAAATCAGAGGCTGAGCCTGGACCTGCCCAAATCCTGAGTGGCCCCAGGAGATTCCCCCTGGAATGAAGGCTACCACAATTAGAACTGAAAGTTAAAGAAAAATCTCTTTGAGAGGTGGTTGGAAGCACTGAAAAATAGCTACTTAAATGAATGGCAGCCCTGCCTTGCGACCAAGAGCTGGAAAGTGAGCCGACTCCAGATACAGAGACAAGGCCTTTTATATTCCTAACTCTCACTTATTTACCAAGCAGTGACTGTGGCTCTTAATCTAGTTTCCTGAGTAGATTTTCTTATTGCAAGCACATACTGCTGGCTCTAATTAATTAGCGTTCTGATGCTTCTCAACCTACTGCAGGCATTCTCAATGGAGGTGATTTATGTTCTATTCTCCCCCCCCCACCACCACCACCACCACTCCACTTCCCCAGGGGATAGTCTGGAGACACTACAGGAAGAGACCAGGGATGAGGCTCAACATCCTGTAACACACAGCATACCTCCCCACAACATGGAATTACCCAGACCAAAATGGCCCTGTTGCAGCCCACGTACCTGTGCTGCCGTTTATTTCTAAACACACGAATTTCATCACCTATGCCATATATACATTCTTAAATCTTGAGCAGTAAAATTTCTGTATTACTTTTTGTCCTGTGCCTTCCTATAATAAATTTAGCACCTATGCTTTTACATCTGTTTCAAAATTATACATTAATTTGGGGTGGGAGGTGAGAGTACTAGGGATTAAACTCAGGATTTCATTCATGCTCTACCACTGAGCTACACCCCCCAGCACATATGTTTAAAACATGAAATGCTTTGGTTCTATAACTCTCTCTTTCTCTTCTGTGCCAGTACTGGGGCTTGAACTCAAGACCTTCAGGTCTCACCTGACTTAGCGCTCTACCACTTGAGCCACAGCGCCACTTCCGGCTTTTTTCTTTTTTGCTTATGTGGTGCTGAGGAATCGAACCCAGAGCCTCATGCATGCAAGGCAAGCGCTCTACCACTGAGCCACCTTTCCAGACCTCACCTGCCTTTTTCACTCAAGGGTGGCACTCTACCAATTGAGCCACACCTCGACTTCCAGCTTTTTTTGCTGGTTAACTGGAGATAAGAGTTTCTGGATTTAGCTGCCTGGGCTGGCTTTGTCTCTATCCTCAGATCTCAGCCCCCTGAGTAACTAAGATTACATAGGCCTGAGCTACCTGCACTCAGCCCTATCATCTACTAAGTAAGTAGACTGTTAGAATGTAATCTGAGGTTCAAAAGTGCTGAATTTGGGTCACACAGGGAGCCTGTTTTTCAAGGGCCTGAAGAGAGTAAATGATCTCAAGTAGGGCTCAAGCCTGTAGAATGCTTATTGAAGAGGCTGAGGTGCAAAGACTTAAATAACTCTAAGCTTTCTCCTAATATCCCCTAACAATATCCACCTCTCCTCAAAAGAATCTGACCTGGGGTGGAATGGGGAGGGAGGGGAGCCTTACATATTCTACTTTATGTAAAGGACTTAACTCTCAGACCTGAGAGGCATTTTGAAAAGCTGCTTCTCTCACTTCTTTAAACTGTGCATTTTAACTAGAATTCGTTTTTTTTCCAGAAAGAAAAAAAGCCAACTTCTTCAGGATTTGTCTAAGTCACCAAGTGGCTCAGTTATGAAATTCATCTTAAAACATAGGTCAATCTCTCTTGACCTAATCTCTTTTTTTTTCTGCATAGCTGACCTCAAAATTCACATTTCAATGTGAACCAATTTTATTAGAGGATATTTTAACTAATTTTTTTTTTTACTTTTTCATCTTTTTCTTAAAAGTATTCTTGCTCTTGATCTCAATAGCTCATCTCCTGTCTTTCTAATTAGTATGGAGAAGACAGTTTAATTTTTGCCAAAAGTCCAAGACATTAAAATGACATTCTGAGCACTGGTCCTTGACACTTAAGAATATTTAATTCAAAAATTAATAGAACTATTATATAACAACTCTAACAGCTGCCTATGACATTTGTTTCCTTTTATAAATAACGTACATGTTTTCTCTAATAAGCATTTATGTTTGAGTATGACAGAAATTAAACCTTAGAGGAGTGAGACAAGTCATTGATATCTACCAAAAAAAAAAGAATAATTAGTTCAAATGCACTAGGGATTCATTTCCTCTTTCTAACAAAGGAAATGGAGGATTTGAAAAAAACTGGTTATATTTCATCAACTAAATATATTTCCAAGTAAATCAAGATAATGTAACCAGATAATTTGTAGGACACAAGACAAACAAAAGGGAAACAAACATCTTTAACTCAGGGACCAGGCGCTGTCCCTGAGTTTTTTGTTCCAACACTGGCACTCTACTACTGAGCCACAGCACCACTTCCAACTTTCTACTGGTTTGAGTTAAGAGTTCTCATGAATTTTTCTGCCCTGGATGACTTCAAATCATAACTCTCAGACCTCAGACTCCTGACTAGTTAGTATGACAGGTGTGAACAAGCCATCAGCACACAGCTTACAGCTGTTTTAGAAAGAAGTCAGTTTGTGATCTGTGGGTGAGCTACCACTGCATTCCCACGGGATCCTCAAAGTCACATAAAACATCACATTTTATGGGTTTTAGCTGTGCAGAACCACCAACTGAGGATTTCTTTTTTCTTTTTTGTTCTTTCTTCTTCTTCTTTTTTTTTTTTTGTCATGAGGGTTGAACTCAGAGCCTGAGAGCTTTCTCTGGGCTCCTCTGCTCAAGGCTAGCTACCACTTTGAGCCACAGTGACACTTCTGGTTTTCTGGTGGTTAACTGGAGATACAAGTCTGACCAACTTTCCTGCCTGAGCTGGCTTTGAACAAGCTGGCTTGAACCATGATCCTCAAATCTCAGCTTCCTGTGCAGACAGGATTACAAGCTTGAGCCACCAGCACCCTGCACCAGTTGAGGATTTCATGGAACTCCTTTGTAAATGACTCACAGGTGCAATTAGAAATGTGCTCTGATTTGGAACTTGAATGTTCCTGGAAGGCCCGTGTGTGAGAAGCCTGGCTCCCAGCAGTACTCTGTGTCCCCATCCACACCCCACAACCCTCAAGGACTCATACACGGCAGATCACAGTTCTAAAATGTGGTTCCCCACTGTATTCCAATACTTCCCAAACTTATGAGGGCCACAGAATGCTTTTCAAATATAACTCTTGCTAAGCAGTCTTACTCTATGTTATTATCACCTTATTTAAATTCATTCTGGCAGCCGATCCAAAATCCACCAGTTTGATATGTCCAGTTCGGTCAATGAGAACGTTCTCAGGCTTGATGTCTCTGGAAGAAAATCAGGACCCTGAATCAGTGTTATCTTGTCCATGGCATTCAGCAAGCAAGTGGTAACTTAGCATCTAATTTCAGCCAAGAACCATAATGTATTCTGCTAAAGAACCATAATTGGGGGGATGGGGGAGTATAGTTGTGTTAAGTGGGAGGGAAAGGATGGTAAGGGAAATACAAAGGAGGAGGCAACAATGCTTGGCAAGAAATGTACTCATGGGGCTGGGAAGGTCAATGGTAGAGTGCTTGCCTCCCATGCATGAGGCCCTGGGTCCGATTCCTCCTTAGTACCACATAAGCAGAAAAAAGCCGGAAGTGGGCACTGTGGCTCAAATGATAGTGCACTAGCCTTTAGCTGAAGAGCTAAGGGACAGCACCTAGGCCGTGAGTTCAAGCCCCATGACTGACCAAAAGAAATGGACTCATTACCTTGCTCATGTAACTGTAACCACTCTGTACAGTATTTTCACAATAAAAAAAAACTTATTAAAAAAAAAGAACCATAATGTGTTCTGCTACACAGGCCTTCCCTATTAATGGATATGAATGATTGACACACAGGTCAGAAAACATTTTTTTTTATTTTTTAAAGGAAGGGAGGGGAGAGGAAGGAGTAAATACACATATCCAATGGTCTATTTCTGTTAGAGATAGCCATTTACATTATAAGAACCAAGTTTGTGTGGTTAATCAACAAGATGACTGAGTTTTTACTCCAGATCTTGTATTCCTGCACTAGTGATCCTTGAATTTCCACAATGTTCCCAGACATACAAAAAACACCACAATAATGAGGATGTACAGAGATGCACTTAACCTCTGAGGAGTTTGTGGAACATTTTTGTTCATTAATAACAGGTGCTATTCAAAGTATGCTATGCTTTGCATCTCCAGTGCCTCCCAAGGGCTCACATGTTAAAAGCTTAGTCCTGGCATGGCACTCCTTGGAAGTGATGGAACCTTTGCTGTGCGGGGTGGTGGGGGGAGGGAGGGGGGAGAGTGCCTCCTCTGCTTTGGGCACATGAGTTAAGGCAAAATGAGGACCAGAGCATGGTAAAGGGATTTGCTCCATGTCTGCCACTTCTTCCGACCACTCATCTCCCAATAATGCATCTATTAATGGATTAAGCCACTGACTATGTCAGAGCCTTCATGATCCAACCACTTCCCAAAAGCCTCATCAGATGGCAGCCAAGTCTTCAACTCAAGAGCTTGTGGGGGCCATTGCAGATTCAAACCACAGCTACCATCCAGAGAGGACTGCGGAACCCCGGCTCTTCTTATCTTTTCACTTCCCAACCATGAAATAAGGGGTTTTGCTTACCATGAAGTGCTGCCTTGCCACAGGCCCAAAGAAACAGGGCCAATCATAATCATGAACTAAAACCTGCACAACTATAGGCCAAAACAAACTTCTTCTCTTGTATCCTGGTGAGCTCATGTATTTGATAGAGTAATGGAAAGCTAACATAGAATCCAGCTCTATGATCTTCTGCTCTTATACAGTACACCAGCTCCTCTTGCAAATCAAAGCCTGTTTTTCTACCATGGAACTCAAAGAGCTCATTCATGGCCTCCCAATCCTATGAACTTACATTTGTTAACTAGCAAATGGAAGGACATTAGTATATTTGATAGCTACTTAGGGGTTAAATGGGCATGCTGAAACAGTTGATGTATTGGAAAGTTTACACTGAGTGAATTAGAAGTAACACTGGATAATGCATTTATCTTGATCCTGGAGTCATTCATCACATTTCCATGCAGGAACTCTTACATGATTCAGGCAAATTCTCAGAATGAGACTCAAGAGTCTCACTTACCGATGTACATATCCCATCTGATGAATGCTGTGAACCGCCAAAATCAGTTCAGCTAAGTAAAACTGAATCATATTTTCATCTAATTGGTCCTCATATCTATTCAAAAGTGACAGCAAGTCCCCTCCAGGCTGATATTCCATGACCTGCATATAATGCCAAAGTGATTAATTTTTCACACACTCAAAAAATAAAAGCGGGGGAGGGGTAGGAGAATGTTTTAATTAGATCCTCAAATACCACCTGACATGTTATAATTACAATGTCTCCAACAAGCAAGGAAGACGCATGAGACGTATTGTAAGACATAGGATGAGGTCCCTGCCCCACAAAAATTACATCTGTTACCCCAGGGAATCAATATAATGAAAGACAAAGCCCAGACACCATGCATGATATTTCCAAGGCAAGTTTGAAAAGGTAAATTAAATCCACCACTTCCTCCACCCACCCAAGGTGACACCCCAGACATTCCCCAGGTTTACATAGACAGCACAGATGTATGTTCCTTGGGAGGAAGGGGTGTGCAGGGAAGTGGGGGAACAAAACTCTCTTACATCCCTTTTGTATTCTCCCCAGCACCCAGCAGAAACTGGGAGATGTGTAATAAGTATGATACAATCTTTTCCTTTCAGTCAGGGCTGAAGGCAACAACAATCTCTATGAAAAATTTAACTATGAATATATATCCTTTGACCTAGTAATTCCACTCTAGTGATTTATGTCACAGGTGTTCACAATAGCTTGCAGATAAATAAGCTAACAGATTCATCACAGCTTGGTTTATAACAGGGAAAAATTAAATCTTGGTAATCCTCCAAATATCCTTCCTAAGAGACCAACTAAACTATGACAATGATGAAGTATGAGATGGATGTTAAAAAACAAATGGCAATAGATAAGGATCCAGTTGCAGTTTTCCGCATGTGGATATCCAATTTTCTTGTGACCATTTGTCTTTCTTCCAGCTTATGGTTTTGGTTCCCTCATTGAATTTTGGATGGCTATAGGTTTGTGCATTGATTTCTAGGTCTTCTGCTGCACTGGTCCTCAGGCCTGTTTTTGTGCCAGTACCAAGCTGTAATAGAGTTTGAAGTTTGATATTGTTATACTTCCAGCACTACTTTTTCTGGTCAAGGTTGCTTTCTCCATTTGGGGCCTTCTGTGGTTTCCTAAGTATTTTTGATTGTTTTCTCTACCTCAGTGAAGAATGATGTCAGGATTTTGATGAGTATTGCATCGAAATTGTAGATTGCTTTGGGCAGTATTGCCATTTTCACAATAATAATTAGACTAATCCAGGAGCATGGAAGGTCTTTCCACTTCTTTGTGTCTTCTTCTATTTCCTTCTTTAAATTTTTGTTGTTTTCACTGTAGAAGAATTTCACTTCCTTGGCGGTTTGAAACTATTGCAAATGGAGTGGCTTTCCTTATTTCCGTCTCAATCTTCTCATTGTTGGCAAACAGAAAAAGCCACCTATTTTTGTGCATTGATCTTATACCTTATTACTTTACCAAAGTTATGGGGGGGTTTTGTTCCAGTCCTGGGGTTTGAACTCAAGGCCTGTGGCACTGTCCCTGAGCTTTTGGGCTCCAGGCTAGTGCTCTACTACTTGAGTCACAGCTCCACTAATGGCATTTTTGGGGTAGTTTATTAGAGATAAGAGTCTCATGGGGGGCTGGGAAGGTGGCTCAGTGGTAATGCATGAGGCCCTGGGTTCGATTCCTCAGCACCACATAAGCAAAAAGAAAAAAAAAGCCGAAAGTGGCACTGTGGCTCAAGTGGTAGAGTGCTAGCCTTGAGCTGAAGAGCTGAGGGACAGCACCCAGGCCCCACGACAGGACCCAAAAAAAAGAGTCTCATGGACTTTCCTGCCCCAGCTGATTTCAAACATCAATCCTGAGAGCTTGGCCTTCTGAGGAGCTAGGATACAGGTGTGAGCCACCAGTGCCCTGCTTTTTATCTAAGTTTTTAATCAGCTCTAGTAGCTTGAGAAAGGGGTCTATAGGATTCTTTAAATATAGGATAATATCATCTGCTAAAAGGGATAGTTTTACGTCTTCCTTCCCTATTTGGATCCCCTTTACGACTTTCTCTTGCTTTATTATTCTTGCTAGGAAACAATTCCACTCCTGGGCATTCATCCAAAAGATGACAATCCAAGAAAGCTACCAGCACAACTATGTTCATTGAGGCACTATTCACCATAATCAAGGTATGGAAACCAGCCCAGAAGCCCCTCAATGAACAAATGGATCAAGAAAATGTAATACATACACACAATGGAATTTTACTCATCCATTAGAAAGAACAATATTGCATCATTTGCAAAGAAATGGTAAGAACTGAAAAAAATGTAAAGTGACATTAAGTTAGGCCCAGAGAAACAAAGGTTGCATTTTTAACCCTCATTGGGAAGGAGGCCAGAATTACTTTATAAACACATAAGTAAATATATTAGGGGGTAGGTAAGTAGACACAAATGGATTAACCGAAATATGGTAGATTCAAAAGAAAACTCAAATACTGCAATTCCTTAGAAAGGCAAAGAAAGAATTTAACAAAATAAACACCAGGAAACTCGTACTTGAAAGGGTGGAATGGGGTCAAGGGGAGAGAGCTAGATGAATGAAGAGGAGAAGGGGAGAAAAAGCAGTCAAGAATTCAACGTATATTGAATTGACACTGATCAAGATGCACTGTATACATAAACTGCTTTAATGCAAAAATAATTCAATACAAAATTAAGAAAAGGGAAGGAATAGGTAGGTAGGAAGAGACAGCTGAGAATGGTAAAAGGAATGACAACACTGTATTCATAAACCACTGTGTTAAGTGGCAACTTCTTCGTCCAACTTTTTAAAGATAATTAAAAATAAAAATACAAACAAATGGATTCCACCTGTTCAAACTACCATGGAAAGCTCTCCATAATATAAAGTGGTGTCCTGTAAAATATAACCTCCCTTTTGTGAGAAAAAATAATTTTTATTTATGAGTATATGTAGGGGGGAAAAATAGAAGAAGTATATGAAGTCTCAGGTAAAATGATTAACTTGGTCAAAAAAAAAGATACCAGTGGCTCACATCTGTAATCATAGCTACTGGGAAGGCTGAGAGTGGGAGGATTCCCACTCAAGGCCAGCCCAGGCAGAAAAGTTACAATTTCTCATCAGAGAGCCAGACACAGTGGTGCACACCTGTTACCCTATATACAAAAGAACACCTAAAATAGATGGAACTTGGCCTAGGCTCATACCTGAGCAAGAAGTAAGACCCTAGTTTAAAAATAACCAGCACAAAAAAAGATGGAGGCAAGGCTCAGCAGTAGAGTGCCACCCTAACAACTGTGAGGCCCTGAGTTCAAAAAAAAAAAAAAAAAAAAAATACCACCTCTACCCCAAAGAGCTGAAACCCTTCTTCCTGAGTCAACACCCTACCTAGAGAGAGGCCAGTTAGCCTGAGTGGCTTCAGTTTCTCTCTGGTGACTTCACCACTCTTGCTTTAGGTTTCACCCTCTGCAAAATCAGGATTGGATTAATCCCCTTTAGCACTGCATGAGGATACGGCCAGACAAGGATCTCAGAGGCCCCAACGCAATGCCTGGTATCCACAGGAGAGCCTCAGCTATCATTCCATCCCCATCTCCTCCTGAAGCGAGTGGTCTCCCTGTGCCTAGAGAAACGCTGGGACCCCTCTGACCATTGCTACAACCGTTAACCTTTAAGGCATTCTCTGTCCTTAGCTCTGATTTCCCATTTTATTGCTCATGCTACAAATGTCTTTTAAGCTGTCTCCAGTCTTTCTAGAAAAAAAGGTAAGACTCAAATATACTTCTTAAAAAAAAAAATAAAACTACCACATATTATATTCAAGCAGTCAATGCTGTGATGTGAAGTCTTAATATTATCTCAACTCCTGTTTGCCTTTAGAAAAGAATTAGAAGAAAAAACCAGGCACTGAGCATCTGCCCCAGGCTGGCCTAGTAGACACAGCAGGAAGTTTGGCTAGCACCAAATCAATCCTGAACCAAATTTCCCATCCTTCCCATGGACTACTTATAACCATGGAATCCACTCCATTCCCATGACTTCTTACATTCTGAAGCCACTGGAAAAATTGCATTTGAAGAGTCATATCCATTTGCACTGCAAATTGCTAAAAACAAATTTCAGAACTAAGAAGAGCAACACTCAGATGGTGCAGCACCTAAGAGGCATACTTTACTTCCCCCAAATTCCTGGCAGATGTACGCCACACACACCCCTTCTCTCAAAGAGAGCTTATGGAAGCCACCTGGCTGCCTATAGCTCACCCACTTCCCAACCTGGTTCTCCGCAGGCCCTGAGTATGTGGGTGAATGCTAATTTGTACGTCTGCTTTAAATATATTGCCATTAAAAAGGGCTTTAAACATCAAAAGAAATTCACCGATAATAACAGGCATATTCATACTTTTAGAACTCAAATGTCTCAAAGTAAGGACAATGCATATTTATGACGACACAAGGCAGTTATAAATTTCCTACAGCTCTATTAAAGATGTGAAAAAGCAAATCAGCTTGTCAGTCTGAGGCTCAAAAACCAAAAATACAGCATTCACTGGCAACTCTTAAGACCACTACTTGGTACCTCGTGTCTACCTAGCCCTTATGCTCCAAACATGAAAAGCATCTCTTACAGAAGCATCTCTTACAAAAGATATGTATTCTTCACTCCTACTCAGAAGAGACCCACCCAAACTACATTAGTCTTTTCTATCTGGGTCAAACATCTTCCCACATCATCTCAAACCAAGACAAAATGATAAGAGCTGCTAGCCAAAAGTAGACAAAGCTAAATGACAAATGCCTAAACCAACTGCATTCTTACCAGAACATCCAGTTAAACATAATTCCATACAAGAAGTCCAACTGTGCACCCTAGGCGCACCGATTCTGGACACTATGGCTATCCCTGGATGGTATCCACATTCCAAAACTATACTACAACGGGGAGGTGGGGAAGGGAAGGGGTAGTAGGAGAGAAACAAAGGAGGGGATAACAATGCTCCACAAGAAATGTACGCATTACCTTACTCATGTAACTGTAACACCTCTATACAGCATCCTTACAATAAAATAAAATTAAAAATAAAAACTCTATT